GAATCAAAAAATTCATTTAAAGTATAAAATGTATTTCTTATTAAGTATTTATGCAGCTTCTTATAAAATATAAAATTATTTGTGTTCGTTATCTCAGAAGGCAATTTGTTAAAAACTTTTAAACCTAAATAAAATGGTGAATCACAAGATATTTTGTATTTAAAAAAAGGAATGTGGAATTTCTTATTTTGCCTAGTGCTTTTATTATGAATGGTTTCATTTAATTTAAAAGTAGACTTTCTAAAAACGTATACGGACAAGTCGAAGATAAATAAAGACAACCGTTAAAATATTAAAATTAAAAAAAATATATATTATGATTATTCTATGATTCTACAATACAGAAATGTGTATATAAAATATGAATAAATATAAGTCGAATAAAATATTTTTTATTCCATGTACAAAAGAAACAAAATAAACTTAAATCTTGAGTAAAAAAAAGAATTTATATAAATATACTATTCTATCATTCGATTTGTACAGATTGCCGACACTGGTAAAAACTCGAAATAGCCCAAATTGGCGACTGGCTATTTTTGCTTTTTTTCAAGTAGCCGAAAGTCATCTGAGATAGCCCAATTGGCGATAAGTAGCCCAATCTGGCAACCCTGAATGAACCTCTGTTCCCAAGGTTCATAACTTCATAATACTCGGAGTCAGGTAGAGTCAAATCTATGACCTTGGTCGTGGTTAATTTTGATCATTGATAATAAAACTAAAATCTAAAATTGACAGTCTGACAATAATTGTGACGTTAGATGTCATTGTTTAGGTTTTATTATTTATTTTAATTATTTAGTGTATTTTAATTGCTGACGATTGGAACGCAGAAATTTGTGATCTTCTGCTGACTAAGAGTTGTACCATGAGGTTAGTTTGTTAGGTGCATTTGAAGTTCATAATACCTACACAGGATGATGTACTTGCATAATATTAATATTTATATTTTAGTGGTCCACGAATGGGTATGTCTCAATTGAACGGTAGCAATAGAAGGCCTTCGAATATCACCCGGATGATGTCTAACGACAAGCCAGTTCATGCCCAACACGATGATTTAATAAAGTATATCTACGATTCGTGGAGTAAAGTAGAAATGGACAGGGGATCTAACTCTGTAAGGTATTATCAAGATGAGAGCGCCCATCAATTAAAAGATTTTCAACCATTTGATTTAGAGGCATACTGGGGCAGACGATTACACCAAAGCATCCAACAGCAGCACTCATAGCATTATTACGCTGTGGCAGTCCGATGATTGTTTTTTTTTAATGAGATTTAGTTGCTCGTTAGAAGTACGCGTCTTTATTATGTATTATTAATTTGCTTTTTATAACCTAATATTGATTTTATATGATCGTAAAGTCATTAATCTTGTTACTTTTTCTTTTTTACATATGTAATTTTTGTGAGAGATTATTTGACCCAAATTGATACTACTTTGAAAGCAATGAGAATTATAGCACTTTATGAAAATATTGCTTTTATATTTACAGTATTTAATTTTTATGTTTACATTCCTATAGTGACTTCGAATCATATTCACCATTAATCTACCCATATCTAATTTATTATTCTTTTAATTATCAAGTTAGACAAATTGTAAATTAGTAACTAATATTAAAATAAACTTTTTTATTTATCGCCATTGTGTGTTTCTTAGTATCGCATTGAGAGTATACTTTATGGAACTAATAATTAAAGATTGCAAAAATAAGGGGTTTACATCCTTTATTTCACAAAATTCTTGTTTTTTTATGTCCAAGGTAAAAAGTTACAAAACATTACAGTTCCAACAAAAAAATAACTTAAAAAATATACTATAATAATATACTCTCCTAATGAAATTTTTCTGGAAAATGCATCACTAAAGCTACCTAAAGTTGTGTCTTTGAAGAAACTAGCACAATACCAGTAGAACAAGGGGGAAGCTGAACATAACATTCTTGTTGATACTTGAATATGTACAAATGAGATACAAAATAATAATAAAAACATCATATGAATTACAAAAACATTCAGAATTGGATTACATTTTATATCCACCTCTTTTTTCTTATTAAATAACTTATCAAAACTAAAAATATGGATAACATTTTTGCTCGCATTGTGTATAATATGTTGACATGACATTTTTATCAGAATGATTAAAACTGGAGCAGCAAGTAAAAAGTTTGGCAGCTGTTTTAACTCGTAGTACTTTAAAAATCCCACTTTCCAGTAATGATTTTGCACATAGGAGTATGCATGAGGTATTCTGTCGTAGCACCAGGATTGATTATACTTAGAAAACTGTCCGGGTAAAACATAATCATTTCTTCGAGCAGAAACGACTATATTCGAAGGAAGTTCTATATCAAAATTTCTACAGAACATGTAGTAACAATAAACTTGATAAACAGAATATGGAAGTAAGCAAATTATTGTCAATAATGAAATAATAAACATTGCTTTTGTTATAAAAATTATTCTTCTAATAAAATTGTTTCTTGGCCAATGTTTAATGCATATACAAATGTAAGCGTAAACAAGAAAACCTATATTTAGTATACCATTAGATCTTACCACTGCGCTCAAGCCTATAGGTAATATATACAAAATATGACGATAATCTACCTTGAATTTCACCTTAGAATATGTTTTATATAGTACTATAGAATTTAGTACGGTCTGCAATGTTAAATAGTAGAACAGGCATTCGGAGTACGGCGCACTAAAAAATATTGACGCGGGATTGATACAAAAAAGTAATGTGCTTTTATAAGCTACTGTCTTATTCGAAAAAATTGTAGTCAATTTGAAAAGTGCCTTAGCAGAAAGAACAAACAAAATAATATTTAGTCCTATAAACACTAACAGCAGAACAGAGTCTAGGCTCATCCAAGGAAAAACTGAGCAAACCACTAAAGCGCACAGTCTGGACAGTAGAGGATAAAGTGGAAAAAAGGCGAGAGTATTTTCAAACGTATATCCATATGTTGCTATGTGCATGAAATACTGAGCGTCCCATCTCACAAAACCTCTTAAGGTGTGGCGCACAACACTGTCAATAACATTATAACTAATATTACTGGCCTGTGGATAAACGAAGGCGTCAGCTACGTGATCAGGAATTAAAATATTACTAAAATACTGCAGTATTATCACACAAATTCGGGTATATACAGCGAATTTTGTTAAAGTTCTTTCCATAATACACTTTGATTATAACAAAAATACCACTGGATCCTAAGCAATAAATTTTAACTTTATTTGCACTACAGCCATATTTTTTATATTATGGATATTATTTATCTGGAGAATCTTGAAAAATATTAAAATAATGTTGATTGAAATTTTGGTTATCTGCTTTGTAAGATACGTTTGAACTACTGTCAAGTTTACAGTTATCTACAACGCACACAACTTAAAACAGTACACTGTAAAGTTAAATAGTTACCTATATCTGGCGATATACTATATTTAAACGGTAACGCTAGGTGGCGCATTAAGTATTGCAAATTCTGTTGTTCGTGTTCTATAGCGTATAGGCAACCAGCAATACGCTTTTATAGATAAACTGCATTGCTGGTTGCCTTTAGGACATTTAAAATTGTAGTACATACAGGGTATCCCGAAATTCATGCAGCATAATTTGGTCATAGATTCTTAAGACAAATTAAGGGGACCCGTATATTCTATTTTTGCCAAGTGGCCCCCTCTTTCGGAGTTACAGCCCCCTGAAGTCCGCCCCTAAGAATAATCTTTTTTTTATATCTCAGAACCCTGTTGTACGAGAATCAGTCAATTTGGTACACTGGGGTTTTATGACATGTGGAATCTAATGGTGCTACATTTTTTGGCGGAGAACCCCCTTAAAACAATTTTTCGTGGGCCCCCATGTCTTTAGAATCAAAAAAATTTGGTCGCATATTTAAATTTCCTAAAAATTATCAGTCCATTAGAAAGCCATTGAATTTATAAACTTTTTGTCTCTTTATACTTCTTTCGTAAAACGCAATGTTTTCGAGAAAAATGTCAAAATGTGGTCGAATGCATATCGTGATTCGCCATTTTCCTCAAAAACATTCCGTTTTAGGAAACAAATTTCAAGAGACAAAAAAGTTTCTAAATTTAATGGCTTTCTAGCTAATAATTTAAAAAAAAAATCAAATTTGCGACCAAATTTTTCTGGTTTCAAAGACAAGGGGGCCCACAAAAAAGTGTCTTAAGGGGGTTTCTCGCCAAAAAGCGTAGCACTGTGAGATTCCACGTCATAAAACCCCTGTGTACCAAATTTAGTGATTCTCGTACAAATTTCTGAGATATAAAAGGTTTCTGAGATATAAAAAAAAGATTATTCTTAGGGGGCTGTACCCTAAATTTGTCTTAAGAATCTGTGACCAAATTTTGTAGCATGAATTTCGGGACACCCTGTACAATTAGATGGTCAATTTTTATTAACATTTCCACAATCTTTTTAACTTACCGTTTCGATAGGAACAAAACATACTTGGGTCTTGGGTTTAATGAAGAGGAATATTTTATAACATTCTATTTTATTCATCTTCTATTACAGTTAAACACATCTCAAACAACACTGGTCTTATACAATAAATTTTATAAAAATACAGAAATTAGTCCACCGTAACAATTTTCTTAGCCAGTTCAACGGAAAATAAATAAGTAATATCATTTTTTATAACCCCTATCCTACTTTAGAGTACCTTAAACCGGTATGTTTATATTATTAATAACATTATCCATACAAAAAATATCCTACACAGTAGAGCCATATCTTAAGTCTAACGTTTTGCCGTTTCCTATTTTCACTGATAAACAAAATAATTATTTCGTTTTTTCAATCCCAAATTTTCTAAAACGATACTTTATATACAGGGATACGAAATTAAGTATTTTTGGAAACGTATGAGCCGGTAAATGTTCCAGGATTAATTAGTCAAACTTAAATCGTGAATTGAGACGGTCAAAAAAAAATTTCAAACAAAATATAACATTGGCAGACAGATTTTGCGCTTAGACAGATTTCGACATCCTGTATCTTGAAAACGAAGCGTTTCGATATATTTCTTCTAAGTAGTTTTTTCTTGTTTTCATAACCGGAATTGAAATTTTCAGTTTAGCCAGTTAATCTTAAAACACCTTACGTTTTTTAAATTGCCTAATTTTTTTGGTCAAGAAATAACTACTGCTGCTTTTTTCAGTTTTAAATTATCAAACAAAAACTGTAAATTTTCATTTTTGTTTTCAGTTCCTTGATCGAAAATGGAAAGACGCCGTTAAGACACTTTTTAAATATGTACTCGTGTTAGTCGTGGTGCTATCAGTAAGGTGAAATGACCGTAACTATTATTTTCGTAAAAACACTAAATTACCTATTTTTACCAAGAGTGCTCTGAAAACAAAAGAACCATCACTTCAAACAAAAGTTTGACAGTTTACTTGAATTTTCATCGATAGATAGGGTTAAAATTCAGTTAATTAAAAAATGCAATTTTCATGTGAACCAAAGTCAGAAATTCTTCAATTTAAATAATAAATTAGCTTGAAGTATTTAACTGAACTGTCAAAATTTCATTAAAAGCGACAGTCGGATGTTTTGTTTTCAAAGCACTCTGGATAAAAATAGACAATTTAATATTTTTCTCAATTTCCGATCAAAGAAATAAACATGATAATATAAAAGTTCAATTTTTCATGTATATCTTATCTGAAACCATGCACCGAGATCTCGACAATGCAGTTTAAAATTTGCATTTCAATCGTAATTCTCTTTTGTATGTAGAGGATGATGATAAGGTACGGGTAAAACTAAACTCACCACCAAGGACTCGAAGCACGAGTCCTTGCGTTGACAAATTATAATTAATTTCTACATTAAGGTTTGTTACACTTATTTATGCACGACTATGGTGGTGATGTGGGTATTTGCGTCGATATTATAAAATGCTACAGTTGTTTTGATATACGAAAAACATAGTCCAATTTCCATTACATAGACTTCATGTTCTAGCGGAACTGTACAAATATTCTAACGGGTCACTTTTTGGCCGACAAAATGATTGAAAAAAGGTTTACAAAATTTTAAATGGTGCTATAATATTATAAAAATATGTGTTTAATTTTCATAAAAAAAAATAAATACTGTAAAAATATTGCAAAATTGTTCATCCACGTGCGAGTTTCCAGTGCCGTGCAGAAGTGTTTTTTAAATTATTTTCGAACTGCCCTTTTTGATTTTTTTTTACTAAATTGTATTTGTAAGGGTCCCTTGTACATCCAGATTTTTTATTTTTTTTGGATAAGTTCTGAATCACCCTGTATATTCGTGTGTATTTTGAAAACCATGGAAATTGGACTATTAACACATTAATTACAAACCCGCGCTTTACTGTAACGTACACCCGTTCTCGATGCGCCTCCACCGTATCGGCGAGTTGTTCGAATTTCCCGGACTGTCGCCCAGACTGCACGTCTTAGTCCTCATGATCATCAGGTCGGTCCTTATGCTGGGTCGGCGCACGTTGGGCGTCACTACACCGCACGCGTCACTCAGTCTCCTCTTCACCGACAGGTGATACTTCTTGGAGAGGTGCGAAGGCGCGGAGGGGGGCAGCGGACAGGGGGCGCCGAAGCTGGCGCTCACGCGCTTGTGGTGGTTGGGGGCCATCTCCTGCGGCAGGTTGGCCACCACGAACAGCTGGTAGAACACCTCGTCCACCTTCAGGTTCTTCTTGGCCGACGTCTCCACGAAGTCGCAGCTGGAGTCCTGGGTGTCGCAATAGGCCTGGGCCTCCTCCGCGGTCACCGTCCTGCGAAATAATCGGCGAATGAAAAAATTTACAATAATATATAAATAAGTCACGTTTAAATAACATTTTTCCTAAAAAGGCTAAGATAGACCAGGGATATGAGGAAAATAAATGACCTGGTGGTGACTGTTGGTAGCCAGGGATCTGTAAAGGTTTTCATAAAATTTGGGTGAATTTTAGTAAAATATGTGCAAAACCCACACACCAGGTGAGGCTTTTTAATAATTGACAATAAAAGGTCTAAAAAAACGATAATTTTTATTATAATGTGAAAGTAACCAACTTGTAGGGAATAAAAAACCCTCTAAAATGGCGGTTTTTAAAATCCGATACGATAATTTATTGCTCGGGAAATTGCAAAAAACTGTCAAAATTCGATTATTACTAAATAAACAATAAGTTTTGCAAAAGTCAACCTACGACTTTGATATTGCATAAATAGTTGGCTTTTATAGTCCTTAATATGTGATTAAAATTTCAGACCGATTCATCCAATAGTTTTTGCAAAATTCTAAATGTTTATCCCAGAGGCATTATTTTTGCAATAGCTTGACACGCAAAATTACCAAGATATTTTAATTCTGCTGGTGTCATATGAAAGAGCAAGGCTTCTTTTATTGGAAGAAATTATTTTATTGCAAAAAAATTATTTTTTACCACTGCAAAAACGTACCACAAAAACACTGTCATATTTGTCTTATAAACAATTTGAATAAATTATATTTAGAGATTATTTTTCCATATTCGTAAAGGTTGTTGCTCTAACTTAATTTGGGGAAAAGTTATACACTTTTTTTTAAATCACAGCTACTTTGTTTATAACAATTAAGACTTCTTATAAGTGCCATTTGGAACATAAAGAGCTAAAGTTTCCATGTGAAATTTTTGAAGACGATAGCTTTGTAACAGCATCTCTGAGAATGTTCCAAATGATGACTTCGATACAAGATGACTGTGAGTTAGTGGAGGGAGAACCTACAAATCCACGAGCAAATTGACAGAGCAAGTTACATCTCTGGAATTTGTTGACCGATTTTAATGTTTTTTTTTTTAATTTGGGGACCTTCTTGCGTACATCACAAATATACATTTTGTTAATAAATAAAAATTTAAATTAATCCAATTTTTTTTTTTTGCAAAGTAACATCTTTTGTAATTTTTTGTAATGGAACATAATAGGAATGATTAAATATCATTTTTTAATAAATTAATATTGCAATTAACTAAGTAATTTGTTTAAACTTTTACCAAAAAAATAAAAATAATTCTAAATTATCAATATTTTCGGAATTATTTTGACGGGAAATTATAGATATAGGTTAAATTTTTTTCTTATTAATAAATTAACATTTAAATAATTGAATAATTTGTTTAAATATTAAAGTATTTTTTTATGTATTGCGATTAGATTTTTGATAATTTTATGTTTGAATCTAAATAAAATATTGTTATACTTATATGTAGGCGATCACAATAATTTACGTTTTTTATTTTATAAGTATGTAAGATATTTATAAATGGAACAAAATATATATAATAAGAATTATATTATTAAAATAAAGACATTGATAGATAGATATGACTTTCTGAAAAAACCTTAAATATTGATATTTTAAAATGTTTTAATGTTTAAACAAATTATTAAATAATTTAAATGTTAATTTATTAATAAGAAAAAAATTTAACCTATATCTATAACTTCCCGTCAAAATAACTCCGAAAATATTGATAATTTAGAATTATTTTTTTTGGTAAAAGTTTTAAACAAAATACTTAGTTAATTGCAATATTAATTTATTAAAAAAATGATATTTAATCATATATATATATAATGTTCCATTACAAAAGATGACATTTTGCAAAAAAAAATTTTTTGTTAATGTTTAAACAAATTACTGGATTAATTTAAATTTGTATTTATTAACAAAATGCATATTTGTGATGTACGCAAGAAGGTACACCAAATTAAAAGAAAACATCAAAATCGGTCAACAAGTTTCAGAGATATAATTTGCGCTATCAATTTGCTCGTGGATTTGTAGGTTCTCAATGTCATCTTATATTGAATTCATTATTTGGAGCATTTTCAGAGATGCTGTTACAAAGCTATCGTCCTCAAACATTTCACATAGAAACTTTAGCTCTTTATCTTCCAAATGGCACTTATTAGAAGTCTTAATTGTTATAAACAAAGTAGCTGTGATTTAAAAAAGAGTGTCTAACTTTGCCCCAAATTAAGTTAGAGCAAATTTTTTTTAAATTTGTGTAAAAATACCAGCTTTACGAATATGGAAAAATAATCTCTCTAAATATAATAGCAACAAATTTATTCTAATTGTTTATAAGACAAATATGACAGTGTTTTTGTGGTACGTTTTTACAGTGGTAAAAAACAATTTTTTTGCAATAAAATAATCTTTTCCAATAAAAGAAGTCTTGCTCTTTCATATGACACCCGGAGAATTAAAATATCTTGGTAATTTTACATATCAAATTACTGCAAAAATAATGCCTCTAGGATAAACATTTAGAATTTTGCAAAAACTATTGGATGAATCGGTGTGAAATTTTAATCACATATTAAGGACTATAAAAGCCAACTATTTATGCAATATCAAAGTCGTGGGTTGACTTTTGTAAAACTTATTGTTTATTTAGTAATAATCGAATATTGACAGTTTTTTCCAATTTCCCGAGCAACAAATTATTGTATCGGATTTTAAAAACCGCCATTTTAAAGGTTTTTTTATTCCCTACAAGTTGGTTACTTTTACATTATAATAAAAATTATCGTTTTTTTTTTGGTAGGCAAAAAAGTGATATTTGATTTGATTTTTGATGGTGTCTGGGTTTTGCCACATATTATACTAAAATTCACCCAAATTTTATGAAAAACTACAGATTCCTGGCTACTCAATAGTCTCGGCATTTTCCTCATATCTGGTCTATTCTTCACGAAAAAATATTTATAAATGTTGAAAGTTCAAGGCAAAATGAAAAAAAAAAATCCATTAGAAGTTTATTAACGATTGTCCTAAAGTGTGACAGGGCGATATTTCAATTAACTGAAATGAAAAAATCATGTTCCATAACAAACCGGTATTTTTCATAGAGCTGTATTTATTAAAAATTATTGGATAAATTGCTTCAAAATTATGTTTGCTTGTTTTCGAAAATATGTTTATCTCAATTGAATAAATTTTACAAAACTAATGAACTACCACAGGTGACCTTTTAAAACCATAACTCGTTCTGAAGCTCTAATAATTAGAGCAAATATCGATGAAAAGGAAAACTTCTCTATTAGAAAATAGTTTAGTTGTTGGTAAAACAAATTTTAAGATCAAAATACCGGCCAAACTCACAACTATCCGTCGTAAAGAAATTTCTTAGCCTTTCTGAGAGCAACGAAGCACAGAATAAGAAACAACAAACTTCGTCTAAATAGAACAAATCTCATTTAAGTCAAAGGAAACGTCAGGGAAAATTTTCGTGTTTTAAAGGTGGCATAAAAGAGAGAACTCGTACCGTTCTAAAAATACATCCATCACAACTTTCACGAAACGTGCCCGATATTTTCGGGGCAGAAAGGTGTCCTGACACACGCTATTCTGAGGCTGTTTGTCGGAGAAGGGCTGGAGGAGATAGCGTGACCTGCTAATCACGACAGATAGTATCAATAAGGGGGCCCCCTGCCTTATATATATTCTTAAACGCAGTGGCGTAACTATACCATCTGGGGCCCGTGGCAAATTCTTTTTATGAGCCCTATCAGTAAAAATCGTCACGTTGTACTTAGTTTAATCGCAACTCTACCTGCTCTACCATGCCTACGATTACCATGCTCTACCATGGCTACGATTACGATACCTATCCCCCGAATTAACGTAAGTACTTGCCCTCTAAAACTGCATGATTTTAAACCAATCCATAGTACCTAAACCCTTGAACCTTTGTATTAGTACCATTTGCTTCCTTAATTTACTTATTGCATTAGTATCTGTTACTCACCAAACGTCAATAGTTAAGAATCAGTAGAAATAAGTTGGAGCTAAAGACTCTTTCAAAGTGTCATAGGCTGTCGTTATTTATGGAACCGTTCCTTTGGAACCCTTCCTCCGGAACCGTTCCTCCGGAACCGTTCATCCGGAACCGTTCCTTTGGAACCGTTCCTTTGGAACCGTTCCTCCTTAGTTGTCTCACTATTGGAATTTAAGCAGATACTTCAAAAGAAATTAAAAAATATACTTTTCAAGTAAAATAAAAATACTCAAATGTTAAAAATTTATTTCTGAGCTCGCGGTCTCTTGGGTCGGGGCCCTCTTGGGTCGAAGGCCCGTGGCATTTGCCAGCCCTGCCACCCTATAGTTTCGCCACTGCTTAACGGCAACGTGTCATCTTGAGTGACGTGTCCTTTATTCACTTCGGCTGGGGACGTTCTGAAAAGCCGTACGAAAACGACGCAGGGTAGAGGAAAAGCAAAACTTCGAAGGAATGCAAAAAGGCCATCTTCGTGTGAGATATGAAAAAATTGTGTTAGGGAGAGTTATTGACATTTAAAATTTATACTCATGTATCAAATTTTAAAATAATCAGGAAAATGGAAAATAATTGGTTATTTATGTGTCGCAATATTTATAATTGGTGTAATATAAAACGTTTCTAATAAATTACTGACGACCTCCGTAATGGTCCAGCAAGAATTTTCTGAGGCTTACTTTGTATTTGAATATTCCGTTTGATAGAATCGAATAAGTAATAATAAATCATACAACGTTGGGAAGGAATTCTTTATGCGCCTAAAGGTCGAGAAATCCGAAATTCTGTGTAGTGTACGAGAAAAATGTTTATACTCTGTAAACAAAAATATTCCGGCCACCATCTGGCGTACTCTCAGGCGAATTACCTCTTAAAATTCTACTAAACATGCCCGGCGTGTTTTGCATTTTAATTCAACCTTATACCTTTTTGCGCGGAAAATAGAGTAAAGCCCCCTTTCA